ACTTGGACATAAAAAAGATAGGCTGAGGCAGGGCCTAGTAAGGTATATCAGTGAGCATGAGCGATTCAAAATCCTATGGGGAAAATAGGCAGTGGAGTTAGCAGAATGTAATTGCTTTGTGTCCAGGTTGGCCGTGTGGGAAGAATTACAAAAAAAATGAAACAAAGTAACCCCAGTTACATGCACATGTAGGCTACATGTTGTTCGAAGTATGGACTGATCCAAATCCAAATTTTCTAGGGGCAGGCAGACAAACAAACCTGTTTTATTGGGCAGAGCTGTGTTTTTGTGCTTTTTGAAGGGAGGGAATAGAGAACAAAATTACTATGTATATTTAAAACTTCTATGTGCCTGCTTTGCCCGCCTCCCCCATTCTTACCCTGCACTTTCACCCAGATTTTCCCTTAACCTGCAGCCTAATTCTTATACATTCCACATGTTTTGAAACTTTTTTTACAGGCAACAGCCCCTTCCTTTGATGAAGACCTGCGATTCCACACACTCATAAGAGATATTTTCTACATGATGCAACTGCAATCCTAACCTATTCAATTTGATAGCAGAAACAATACATAGTAAAGGAAAAAAATGAAAATTTAGATTGACAGCAGTGAGTGGAAAGAAGCAAGTTGTATTGAAGAGGATTAAAAGAATGGGCATGCACAATAAACAAGATGGTGTGTTATGGTGTTTTAAAACTGTTTTTACCTTAGATAAAAAAAAAAAAACAGACAAAGCACTAATCCAACTGAGGATATCAGAATCCCCGGTACTCACCATCTACATGTGGATACCTTTTTTTGAATGTTGTCCATGAAGCAATGGAACTCAGTTGTGGCATCCAACCCCAACACCACTGAACTGCTTGACGATATGCCATGTGGCGATATTTCCTGAGTAAAAAATAAAACACATGAAAAGCTAATGATAACTAATAATGCAAAAAACCAATAGTACTATTTTTATGGAGATAAAAAACTTTGACCAAAAAAACCCACTATAAATAAAGTATAGACATTTGGGCTTTAAAGAAACTTAGTCCAAGCATGGTAGTGATATAAAAAATGGGGGTTTTTTTTTATAAGGAACAAAAAAAATCTTAAGCGTAAGATGCAAAACACAGGGATACCCACAGTAAATAAAATCCTAATCAATATTGATAATCACACCCCCCCCAAAAAAAATTCAATAAAATTCATGAACTGTATATACTGGTCAAGAGTGCCCTGGACAGCGTTTCTGCCATACTGAGTCAGTGGTACTGCATGTGAGTTGTCTGTAGCATTGCAGAATGTAAGCAACAGGCATCAAACCAGTCATGGTTAGAGATCTACACAGAGAAATAGTGTGCATGGCAGCACTGCAATTTCCAGGGGATGGGTGGCAGCATTATGATGAACAATTTCGTCATGGAAACATACCCTTTCTAATCTTGGGGGTACTTCATTCTGAATTGTGGATTACTGTTGCGCCTGCACTGGTCATGGCGGCATCACAGCCAGGGTATATGTTTGCATGCTGCGTCTGGTGCATCGGCCAAAAGAAGGGATATTGTTTTGGTTTCCATGGCCTTTGTGATTTCCATTTTTGAACAAGTGCAAGTTTCTGCATAAGTGTAGTAAATGTTTGGACATGGTGCAGTGATATACCGGCCAGGGTCCCAGCTTCGGGCCTTGACTGAGATTGGGTCAACAAAATAAGTATGAATGGATGAAAATGTGGAAAACCCCAGTAAACCCCACTTGAGCAAGGATCCGCAACCTGGGTCCGCCTCCTTTCAGGGACGAAAACATTTTGTACCTCCAACGCCAATTAACCTACAGGTCTTGGCTTCTTGGCTGACAAGTTATCCAATAGGGAGGATGCTGCTACATTACTAGCTGGGTTTACAAATGTTTTTCCTTTGGATACAAAGTTCCATGCATTAGTCAAGATTCATATTGTCTTTTGTCAGCTGAACAAAATTCCACCATCGTCAAAGAGAAACTGAGCAAAGAAATACAGATGGAGCAGTTTCTGGCCCGTTTTCTCATCAGTCATACCCCAACATACAGTGTTTTCCCATTTGTATTAGTGCCAGAACGTGAGCAAATTCATTCAGGTTTATCCACAACTTGTTCTTATCCACCACTTATCCACCATGCATGATCATGGGGACTCGATTAATGATTTTATCCACAGAAACCAATGTAAAGTGCATTACGCCTCATTTGATGAGGATGTTCACATGACAATTGGTGCAGGTTGCAAAGCAATTGTCAAATCTGATATTAAGCGGGTCTTTTGGCTCTTCCCTGTTTCCCAAAGTGACTATGAGTTGTTAGGCTCTACATTTCATGGCAAATTCTATTATGATCGATGCTTGCCAATGGGTTGTTTCATATCTTGTGCATTGTTCAAAACATTTAGTACATTCCTAGAGTTTCTTTTTTTTTGCGCAGGTTGGCACCTTCAACCATTGCTTCATATGTTGCTGGGGTGGCATTTGTTCACAAAATCAATGGTTGGCCAGACCCAGCGCAGGATGTCATAGTAACTAAACTGTTAGAGGACTGTAGGAGGGATCGGCCATCTGTTGACGATAGACTGCCTATATTCTTACAATTCTGGCAGACCTGTTGAATGCATTACCTCATATCTGCTATTCCCATTTTGAAAGTACGATGTTTCAAGCCGTCTTGCTTTCAGCATTTTTGGTTTTATGAGAGTTGGGGAATTTATTGCAAGATCACAGTGCTCAAACCAGAATTCCCTTTTGTCCATATCTGACATTGAGTTTTGTCACAAGAATGCTGCAGTTGATTCAGTGCTAATCTCATTTAAATGAGGAAAACCAACCAGACGGGGCCTGCTCAAACAGTTAGGCTTACTCGTTCACAGAATGAGACAATATGTCTAGTGACCACTTTATGTGATTATATTGCTGTTCGACCACAGATTTCTCAACCATTAGTTTGCCACTTTGATGGCAGCCCCTTGACAATGTATCAGTTTGATGCAGTGTTGAAGAAGAAGTCTCCTTTTGTGGACTTGAGGGGTTGAGTTTTTGGGCTCACTCTTTTTGCATTGGGGCCGCAACTACGGCTTTTGTGTTTGGGGTCCCTCCAGCAGACATTAAGCACATGGGTCATTGGTGGTCTGAATTAGTTTTTTTCATACATTAGGCCTGCACCACCTCCTGCTATCCTGGGAGTTTGAGCACTGTATCCAACCTTAGCTGAGTCTCTTCTTCCTTCCTTCACGTTGTTCACAGGTCCTGTATGAATCATTGGTGATTCCATTGTGCAATGGGCCTCAAACCCCCAGAATCTGCCTCATCCAGTGCTTTGGAATGGCCATAGTGGGGCAACAATTGGTCATGTTCATTCCTTAGTGGCGGGTATGATAGGACCACCTCCATCAGTAACTGTTTTGCACGTCGGTGCAAATGACCTGCTGTCCATGGATGCCTTTTGCATATGGCAACACATGTTCATACAATTAGAAGAAATCAAGGAACTTAAACCCACAAGTCCAAATAGTTTGGTCGGATATCTTGCTTTGTGTTTTTTACTTTGGCATGACTGCTCAGGCCTCAATGGACAGAAAGCAGCACTCTATAAACAAATGGGCTAAATCTTGTTTGCAGAAATTTGGGGCTCATGTTATTCACCATCCCCAGTTCCACTGGACGGATGTGCACCTGTGTCAATATGTTGGGGTACACTTATCACACACTGGCCATTAGCTCTTTATAGCTAACTTAGTGAGAGGTCTTTCTTGTATTCTGTAAGTTGCCCAGCATTGTTCAGGTTGTTACATTTTGCACTGAGGTCTGTCTCTCCCCGTATGGCGTGTGTGGCAGTTTTGGGTGGGAATTTGACAGACACAGTTAAGAAATGATCTATCATAATGGCCAATAAAGTTATGTTCCCATTTATAGCTGCTTTAGCATACAATGGAGGCACTATGACATTAATTTCAATGTTTTGTGACAGGCACTCAAATGGCTCCATGGAAGTTCACCATGGGCCATTCCTCCAGTAACTCTAATGGGGGAACATCAGGTGCTTGCAGCTTTAATAGTTCAGCTTTAATAGTGTTTCCATTGCAGAGTTCTTACTTGGTGTTGACATGACTGTCGGCTTTTATAGGTTTCAGGGTCTGGTGTGCCTGAATGTTATTCTGCATTTATGTGGTGAGCCAGGTGTTATAATTGTTACATTTACATGGTCTGGGGTGCCATGTTTAGATGGGACATGTGCGAGGTGTTTCTAAAACCACAAAGAATGGAGAATAGCCTCTATACTCTTCCCATCAATGCAATGCAGTGAATGCACCAATACGTCTACTCCCAACTACATAACTCACTTTTTGGTGTTGCCTTGGGGTAAGGTGTACATGTACAGTGTACCTGTGCCGTCACTCCTGGGCGAAAGACCAGCCCAGTTGTCACATCTGCCATGGGCTTGGAAACACTCATTGGCTAGAGGCTGGAGTTCACCGTGCTGACTGGCTCTAGACAAATCAGGGGAAAGAGTTGTTTTCAGCTCCTGCAGCATTTTTTCTAGTACTGAGAAGGCCCTCATTTTCTTGGCCTGTCACCTCATTCCTGAGAGAAGGAAGGGGTCATCTTTTCCCCACCCTTGATGCTGAATTTCTCTATACACCTTAAGCGTAAACTCTCTACTCGCAGACTGAAGCTTGGCATGCACCTCGCCATGGAGGAAATGACCATGGTACCTGGTCACCATACAGCCAATCAGCTGTGCAGGCTGCACACGGGTGTCCAAGAGTGCCACGTGTGCATTCTAGGAAGTGGAAGCTTGTATTTTTAAAGGGGTTGAAGATTCTCTTTTGGTTCTCTGAAAGGGGCACTTCACATGTACATGTACATATGAGGAATTTGTGTGCAGTCTTGAAGTTCCTTCTTTTTGCCTATCTTGTACCAAATTGTTCAAGGTTTGATTTCTATTTTAATAGAAATGAAAGAGTGAAATCATCCCTTTTTTAAATCTTAGATTCAGATGACTCAACAGTGAAGCATGCAGCTCAGACACCCAAGAAATGCCAGAGGAGAAAAGATCAGAACCAGCCAGTAAATGGTCAGAGCAGCTCTATGAGTATTCAATCAAGCAACCAAGTGGAGCTCATACCAAACCTGAAGGGGCTATACTCAATATGTGTGGCAAAACTACCCCAAGAACTTGAAACGGTATGTTTTGGACTTGTGTTCTGCTTGGACCTTTGCCTTATCATGGTAAAAGGCACGAACAGTGTCCAGTATTGACCCAACATCATTTGTTAATAAATTAAATCATGTTAAATTAATTTGGAAAGTGATTAATACATATTCCAAATGCATTGTAAAGACAATTTGCAAAGAAAAGACCAAATACTACCTGAAACAGATGGTTTCAAGAAAAAAGTAGGAATTTCCTGATCAATATCACGAGCATTCCTCCAGAGTTATTCAAGTTTAGTTTAACATTGTATGGAGCAAGCACCGTTACAGTAATTTTTTAGTGGGTCTGTTCACAAAAGGGGTCACAAATTTTGGAATAAGGTGGTTGCAAATACTGTCAATCTGAATTTGCTTGTGCTAAAAAAGGAAATTGTTTTTTATGACATTTCATCAGAAAACGCTCATATTTTTTTCATGCCAGATACAGACATTTAAAAACTTTATACCTTCCCTATCAAGAATTTTAAATAAGTCTGGATTTAATTTGACAAGGTTTTGGACTTGAACAAAATCCCATTGTGGAGCCTGAAGCATTCTTTGTTTTCATTCATTTTCATTTTGTTTTACTGGGTAGCCAAATCAGTTGTCAATAAATTGTTTTCAGTGTGGGCCCTGGGTTACATAGGTAAAGAGATATAAAAAAAATATGTGAACATAAAATAAAATACATGTGATATACTCATTCAACAGCATGTGTAAAATTCCAGAAATTGGGGTCCAAAGCTGTGACATTTTTGTGTCCCTGTTACATCCAACCTTTGTTATTTGACTTGGAAATATCACTGGAATTGATTTCAGACAATTACTATTGTTTTGCAGGTAATTTGCATTAATTTACCACTCATGGAAATTAAAAATGTGTTCTGAACTTACAAAATCATATGTCAAATGTGACATAGACATGAAAAAAACAGACCCCCCTAATTTCTGGAATTTCCATGTCTCTTTCTACCCATACACTCCTATGTGTATTACAATGGGATATTGGCAGGTGGAAAAGCCCTAGTGTTGTATTTACATGTACCATAGTAGCATTCTTTTAGGCTTATAAGCTGAGTAATGAGTTATTTGATATAACTTCATATAAAAATGTCTATTTGAACATGAAATTTATTGAAAATTTAACAGCTTTTTTCCAACTACATGTGCCTCTTCACAAAATGTTTGAACCCACCCTGTGGTGCTCGTGTTTCAGAATGTGCGTGACACACATCACACACCACACACCAGTATGCATTTGCACACAATGCTGGTAGTCAAGTGTACATGTACAGTTCTTTGCTGTGGGTAAAGTTCTGTTAGCTGTGCACAACAAGATAGCCAAAATAACAGATACCATGTGACTGGCTCGAAGCCAAAAAGATACAGAATCTGTGCTGGAGGTGTTATTATACAGGATGTGTATGTAAACAATAACTATGGGTCTACGGTGTTCTACCTACTGAAACAGTCATTACATATGCAAATTTCCCATGTGCCTATTATTCATTCGCTGAAAGATTTTGATCACCCATAGTGCTACCTGACCTGCCACAATGCATCGCGGCCTCGCCACCATGATCGTCCTTCTTTTCTCAGCGCCGTAACATAACGACGTGTCTTTCGAGGCATCTTTGATTTATCTAGCTTCCGTTTTTGTTACACGGTTCTGTGTCGAATTGATCACCTTTCCTTCCTTTGTAAATAAAGTATAACCTGGATTTTATCCATTTATTTGTAAGAGTGCCCTTTTTACGTGTATATTTTTGTGTTCTTTCTTTGGTTTTCTTGTATGTGCACCCTGCAGGTGTTTACCGTCAGTATTACATGTATGAGGTTCGTTCCAGCTACACTGTGTCTACCTTACTAATAAATTATAGGCCTTAGCCGGTTGAATTCAGGGGGTTGCTGTCAGGATCTGTCATATTCCCCAGTCTTCTCCGGTTACCAGGACAAGGAAAAGGCCTTGCCGTCATCCAGGGGGTTTTAGCCAGGATCTGGCCAGGCCCCTGGTTTGTTTGGCCCCACGAAGCTGACAGGGAAGCTCCGTGGCCAACTGTGGAAGACCTGAGGAGGGACACTGCCAGAATCTGGCAAGGACCCTGTCTCCTTGGTCAATGGCTAGCCTGGCAAGCCAGCCGGGACTCCCCAGAGAGTACCCCAGCAGACGTCTCTGGGGCCCATACTACCAACATTGTGAGGTACGCCATGTCTTTCGTCCAACATGACCCAGAGAAATCCACGCAGTGCTCCAGCCAGCATTCCCCTGCGATGCCGAAGAGTACCACCTGCTATTCGACATTGGCCTAGAACATCACTTCTCCATTGGCCCCCCATGCGTGTATTCCCTATCACCGGGATACCAAAGTCACGGGGCCAGGCTCCCCACAAGTGCTCTGGGGAATGGACAAAAAATTCGAGTTATCCGAAATTTGAGTGAAAAGAAGGTCCCGATTTCTTTTGAAGTTGAGTCATTATTACGATGTGAATCATAACATGTACCTATACGCTGATGCACAGGTACAATAAATCTCCCTACGATGACTTTTAAAATGACATTGTGGTTATTTTATACTTTGGTGCCACAAGTTTTTCTTCATAGAAAGACATTTTTGCAGAGGATTTTTGTTGTCAATCGGCTAATAAATAACACATTACATGTACTGTCAATCATTTAAACTGTGTACCTTTGTGTGGCAAATCTTTCTTTTGCGTTGTGCATTTGTGATACATTGTGGTGGTCCCATTTCTGATACGGCAAAGCAGCGCCTTGCACATGCGTACTGGGGTGGGGTTTCCCGATGAGTCAGACAACTTTTTTCATCACATGAGGGTGCACCTTTTATATAAAATATAATATTTTATATAATATATTCTTATTACCAAAATGGGTCACTTGGGAGACATTCCCATAGGAATGTGCACAAAATTTTCAAATTTTACCGTCCCATAATTCAATATTCCCTAATCCGATCTTAACCAAACTTTGCATGTTTTCCTTTCAAACCCTAATCTTTCATCTCTCAAAATGTGGACACTAAAAATTTTCCTCCTTTTGGTAGTTAGAGCATTAGGGAGACATTGAAATGTCTCCCGAATGACCGAAGTCTCCCTAATGTTGAAAAATTTACCACAAAATGTCTCCCAAGTGACCTATTTGGAAATATTAAATATAATAATATTATTATTATATTATTAAATATTTAAAATATTATATTTTACCTTTCAATAAAATTGCGTAAAAACAAAAATGCTATTGGTGTCTGTTTTTGGTTTTTATTTTTCTTTATTTTCAAACTTTTGTTTATTTTTTGGGAGTGAGATTTGGCTACGCAAAAGCTCTGCATTGCAGTCACATGGTTGTCACTGCGCGTGAGCATGCTGTGGTTTGTGGCTCTAATTGGCAGCCATCGCACAGGCGTGCACAAGCAGTTGGGCCAGACCATTAGGCCAGACTTAACTTCTCGAGTGCCGTATTTATACTGCGGGGTTATGCCTTAACATGGTTCGGTTGTCATAATCAACAGGTGTTTATCTTGGCCGTTGTGGTGGTAAAAATAGGAGAGCTGCATACAGTTGTGCATTGAACTTTTTTAGTTACAGGTTTTGAAATAATTAATTTACTCAGGACAAAAGGACCAAAGGTGACGTTGGGATCGTAGTTGCGGCATTGAGACGTTCGTTATCGTCGGTTACGATGTAGGTTTGGTTAGACATGGTTTTTATATATAGTCCATTTATTTAAGGAGTTCATAAATTGAGTGCTTTAAGTAGGAGTCACGAGTTCAGGCCAGGCAAGTCGAGACTTGTAGCAAGGGAAATTCCCTTTTCTATGTTTGAGAGTCACGGGGTCAAAGGTCTAGGTTGTTGGTGCACAAGTGAAGAGGAAGCGCCGGGGTCAAAGGTCAAGGCGAGTAAAGTGGGAAACCCCGGCGCGGGTCTGTGGAGGCAGTGGAACATAAGAAGCAGAGTGGCAAAGGGGGCTGGTCTGGAACTTTCAAATACCTACTACTGCATACCTGGAGCAGTGCGTATGTATGTATCAGAGAATTCAGTCATTTGTGTTGTAGGTAGGTACATGTATGAGCAGGTACCAAGGTATGTGCATTTTATGCCCTTTCACTGTTGTTTTATGATTTGGGATTTGAAATGTTTTTTGATAGTTTTTGGGTGAAAATAATGAATTTTTTGGGCAGGGTGGTTAGGAGCATGCGGGTGGTGGACACAAATCTAAAACTTTTACTCTCATGGCCTAATATGACCCGCCCAAGTTGGTGAACGCAACGCAGAAACGATAAAGAGATTAAGTTCAACCATTAAGTTTAACTATTTAATTCAATTCAATTGAAATTTAATTCAAAATACTTTATTTATTCTTAAAAAGGCAATTTTTGTTTGAACAGCTTATTAGAAACATTATTAATAATTAACATTATTAAAATTACCAATAAGTAAATTACAAGCAATTAATCATATCCAAACATCCACAAACAGCATATACATGGACTTGTCTTGATTAAAATGGTGTAAAAATGTGATACCTTATACTGTACATAAAAACTTAGACAATTAATGTAACCATGACATAAAATAAAGGTAAAATGACTAGTAAGATTTAAAATAACAAAATATGAACTAAAAACTGTCTAACAAGAGCAAATATCATTTGTTTAAAACTGTAATAGCCACCAGTATGAACAAGAATTTCCTTCTGTTGGTTTTACATGGAGGGCATCTTAGACGGCCCCCCAATGGGAAATATTCGAACAGGGTTTTCAACACTTGATCAGTTTCACTGGCTAGGATCGATTTAGCTTTTCTAAGTACTTGTTGTTCACAATAACTGACTAAGGTTTCTTTAGAGCCCTCTGGTTAGTTTGGAACCCAGATTAACAATCTTCTGCTAATTGTTCTTGTTTTTAGCACTTAGGTTAATATACCAGGAAATGATTGAAAAACACAATACACTTTCAATGAATGACCAATAAAAC